CAGAACTGAAGACAGTACAAATGAACCTTCAGAAGTTTAGCAGAACTCAAATGTAGACCTTGTACAGGAGTTTTCAGGGGCTTTGCTTATGTGCTTATAGGGTTTTTTTTTCAGCTCTAGAATGCTGCCAAGTTAAGAGTGTATACTAATGGTGAGGAGAGGTCAGACCAGATCCTCCACTTGCCTAATCACCTGTTTCAGATCTGAAGGGATAGAGAGGGATTACAAGAACCTTTCTATTAGATTCATCTGATAGAAAAAAGGTCTAAATGAAGCACTCCCTAGGGAAATCCATGGTTCTGGCCTTCTCCACTTCTGCCCTGGGCTGCAGTGGGGATCCCAGGAATGCAGCAGTTCTGCCATTTTCAGGATAATGCATGGGCAGTGAGCGTGGTTTCAAGCTGAGCTCACGAGCTCCAGGCTTACCTTAGGGAGTCTGTACTTCTCTCTCAGGTGAACCCTCAGACAGGCTCGCTCTGCTTTTTTCTGTGCAAATGCTGCATCTCTTTCCATCCTGGAAACCAGAAAAAATGTTCCTTCAAGATGCCAATAAAATGCAGTCCGTTACACTGAACAAGGTGCTTGGCTGCAAAAAGCTGCACACAGGAGTTATTCCCCAAAGTTGTGTAACTTGTCCAAAGGCACAAGAGGAGCAATGCCAGTAAAGTGATGCAAAGGGGTCAGACTTGCAGTGCTCCAAGCTTGTCCTCAGAACAGTTCCCTTGAGTCCTGTGAATGAGGAAGGATGAGCTAATATTCTCTGTCTGGAGTTTGTACCTGTACTACCTGTTATTGCTGACTATAAGAACGAACAATTCCAATGAGCAGAACACAAAAATTGCATTTATTCCTTGGTAATTCCACTGGGGCACTCAGAGCCGTGGCTGCCTGCCAGTGCTCATGCTCTACAAACATGACACTCTCTTAGTATGACACCACACAGAAGGGCAGGGGAGTCTTTCTGGGTCAGAACAAAAGTTTAGCCATCCTGGAGTCCCTTCTCCAACAGGAAACAGGAGTGGACGTGTAGAGAAAGGATTTAGGAGGAGTACAAACATCCTGCATCAAAACTGCCCAGCTCCCAGAGTCAGTGGTGCAGAGTCCTGGAGATGGCCACTGGCTCTACATCCTTGGCTGTAACAGCCCTGGGTGGCCTCTGTCACCTGGGAATTTCCCTGGTCTTTTCTCTGTCCATTCATTCTTTCACAAGGGCAATAATTTCCTATGGCAATGAATTCAAAAGCTTCCCTGTATGGAAAAGGACTTAATTCATTCGTGATTTTATAAAATGTTTTCACTAGATTTAAGAACTGGTCTGCACAATTTTTTGTTAGATTAATTATGTATTTATTTGCAAAATATGTCTCCTTGAAGATTTTTGGTAACTTTTGATAACATTCACCTTTCCACCTCTCCCTTTAATTCTTTTCCCCCCAGTAGCATTTTCATGGAAATTCTCTTCAGTATAGGTAGTTTGTCACATAAAAGCTACTTGCAAGATGAAATATTACTTTCCCCCTACTTCCAAAATGAGTTTTTGGATTTCTCTGTCTCTAAAAATAAAATAACTCCCCCTAACAAAAAAACCCACCCCTCCCCAAACCTAAAATATGAGAAGAACCCAAAGCCAGTTTGATTATGGGTTCAAAACTCTGCCTGAGTATAATTTCAGTAAGGCACTTCTGCTTCTCTGATCTGCACTCCTGCACAGCTGAACACTGCAAAACCCAGCGAGCCCTGAAACAGAAACATCCCCTGCCCATGCCAGAGATCTCTGGCACAGAACCACACCAGTGGGCACTGTCCTGAGGGCATTTGGGCTCTTTAAAATGTTTCAAAGGTTCCTATTCCAGTTCCTGACATACTGTCAGGAGTTCTCCTGCCCCGGTTCCTCAGTACAGTTCAGCATGTAAAGGACACAGGCACCACTGGAAAATATTATAGAAATAATGCTTATTCCAGGCATTTCCCTATCCCAGGAATCCTGTGTTGCTTCCCAGTTTCCATAAAGCATCTTCCTGCCAGTAGGTGGTTGTTTCTTGTTTAAATATCCCTCGACAGGAGGCATACTCAACCATTCTGTGTTTTATTCCAAGCCAAATGACACCTGTTCAGGGTTTCACGATGGAAATGGCTGATGCTAAATACAGACCTGGATACCTCGAATTCCGTCAGTCATTAACCTGTCACCTATAATCATCTTACAAGGGGGATTTACACAACCATTATGTAATTGACCATTAGAGGAACAGATGCATTTGAGCTTTAAAAGTCAATCGTTTTATTTAGAATTGTGCATGATTTGAACTCCTACAAGCCAAGTCCTCGTTTTACTTCTGTTTTCATTTTTAAACACCACACGAATGGTAAAGATTGCATTTACAGACAAAACTGAGATTTAATTAATTCTGCTTTATTTAGCAGGTTTTAGAAGACATAACCATATTAAAACTCTGCTCTAGATAAATATAATCCATTTAACATAGCACTCAGTACTTTTTCGTGTCTGCCAGAATAAATGTAGACAAAGAAATATTATGCATTGAAAGTGTACTCCACATGGAGTTCCAGGAGAAGAAATCACGTGCATTTTAGAATTAAATCCTGCACTACAAAGAGCTTGGAAAATTTGTAGAGATAAAGTAACACTAACTAGAAATGAGTTCAGCACATCAAGCTGTGGAGATAGCAGGGAAGCACAGAGAGGCAGTTGCAGGATGGGGATGGGGGGGCAGGGAGGGGGAAATAATATTTTTTCATTTCCAGTAGGTGAACTTTTATTTTGGAAAGTCCTTTTAGCAAAGATTCATCTGCTTTAAAAAAGAGTGAAGAGCTGAACTTTTGCCTTTTTCTTGGGTTATTTTTATCTGCACAAAGTTACCAAGAATCAGCCCCATACTGATAATAAGGGAACAGGTACTCACTTCTCCTCAACCATTTGCTTTTGATATTCCTCATACTCCTCTCTGGTCATTCCTGCAGCTGCTGCTGGGTCAGAAGGAGTGCTTTCTTCTTTGCTTTCTTCCCCTCCACCTCCAAGTCCCAAATTCTTTACCTGGTTGCTCAACATACTTTTCATTAGAAAGGCCATCTTCTCAAAAAAAAAAAAAAAAAAAAGAGCTATAAGCAAACAACTATGAGAAAGCCAAACCAAAAATGCTTTTAAAACCAACAGTTGTAAGCAAGAGAGTTTCTACAGCCACATCAGCTCTTCAAGGGCACAGTGCTAGTGAAACGTGAATGCCAAAACCAGTTTGTCAGCCATAATCTGGATTAAAGAGTGAACTCCTTAATATCTAGAGGCAGATGGTTCAGATTACTCCAAAAAATTCATTAGATGCAGCTACCTACTTTTTATATTAATACCATAAGCTAATTGTACACACACACACACACACAAATCAATGATAGTGTGCAATAGCATTTTGATGTCTTCAGTCTTGAAGCTCTCTCTCACTTTCACAGAGACCAAAACATTCCCTGGAACACAACACCTCTGAATTACAGACCTGCTTGACCAAAAGGCCACAGTAAAATCATAAAATTCAGGCTACCGAGTGGAAATGCTTTTGTATTTACACAATAAACGGGATTTGAAAACTGAGATTCTTCATTAAGCAAAAAACCTGATGCTTTTTATCCGTTAAAATTTTATCCCAGTGGACAGAAAGTACAGCGAGTGGTTTTTCTTCATCCACTTTTCGTATGTTGGTTTGTCTCAGAGATGAATGGGGCATGACTGCTACGATGCCTTTTTTTCCAAGAATGTCATCCCCCAAAAAAGCAAATCAGATCTTCCTAATTTTGTTTCCCTTGGGTTTCTGTCAGCTCTTCCCCAGGCTGTCTCCACGTGGATCAGCACTGTGGGTGCAGGAGCAGTTTATCTGACTGAATTTGTGTGCTGTAATACAGCCTGGATGCCTTTTGCTTGGGGGTTCTTTCTGTAGGTCCTCAGCTTCCAAACTTTTTTCTTCCCATTATTAGGCTGGCCAGGTCTGTTCAGGTGAAGCTTTGCAGGATCTGCTCCCTAGGTCACAGACTATTTGGGGAAAGAAAATCACCTGCTAGGTCACAAAAGGTCACGATTTGGGGGTTTGAACATCCTGCTATGACTGATTGCACATGCCTTAATGAAACATTCTGTAATTTTGATTATCTAAATGGTTCTCCATGCACTCTCATAATTTCACTGAGAACTGAGAGATGGGAGGATTCCAGTTTGCTTAATGCTTTAATCTATATTACAGCCTTTCTAATTAAAGCAGACCTATTACTATTAAAAAAAAAAAAAGGAAAAAGGCAGGATGTTCTCTAATGCTGGATTATTAGTGATTAAACAAGAAACTTTAAGTTTCTTTTTGAAATTGAGTATTACTCAGAAGCGTGAATTCCAAATAACAATGAAACTACTTTGATATACTACAACTACCTAGAAAGCATTTTTCTTAAAACAAAATGCAATTTTATAGTAACTGTGCCCTTTCAGAATTATGCATAAGTTGCAAGACTTTGTGGGCAGAATAAACTTTTGACACATGACCAACTCCACCCTTGATTACAAAGCGAGCACGCTCTGAGAGAAGTTTGAGATAAATATAGTTAGCATATTCCCTGGGCTGTGACAGGCACGACTAAATGTTCAAATGCTGTCCCCCAGCACCATTACTTAGTGCCAAATGCCTGTTGAGTCCCCTGGCAGTGGCTGGTTCCCCTTTATTGAAAATCCTCCCCCCTGGAACAGGGAGCAGCAGGGTGCTGTGCTGGGCACTCTGCAAACACTTCAGGGGTAGGGCTCAGTCTTCTCCAAGGGGATGGGGAGTGTTAAACTCTGTGCTGTTGGTGCTCACTGAAAAGAACCTTCCCTCACCTGGGCAGATTGAATTCAAGATTCCTCTCCTCCACTTATTAAAAAATTGCTCCTGGCTGGGGGAAAAATGACAGAGAGGGAATTGGGCCTTGGAATGCCACTAACTGCCCAGTGTGAGGCAGGACTGACCCCAGATCTCTGAGCAGTCAGGCTCTGAACAGAGGGTAAAGAATGCTTCAAAGGCACTTGCTTGGATTTCATGGACATGCACCAAATTAAAAGAAAAAGGCTTACTAAAAATATGCATCTTTATTCAAATAAGGTTATATCTGAACTCCAAGTGTCAATTTACATTAGTCAGAAACAAATATATGAAAATGTCAGCCGTTTGAATTTAAAATAAAAAAAACCAAACCAGTAGACAATTCTTCTGTTACAGTAATTGATCCATTGAGAAATGTCAAATTTTCTTCAAATAGCAAGTTACAAACCATAGCAGGTAAACTACAAACTGTAAAACAGGTGATTTACAAACCGTATTGTGCATTTTACTTTTGAAAGATTCAGATGTGACCATGTAGTTAATATACCCTGACCAGGACAATCAGATTCTCTTGTCACTGCCAAATATTTGCTACTTATCATTCACAATTCAAATATAATTATTAGACTTGTTCTCCCTCATACTGTCAAACTGGATTCCAAGTTGTCTTCTCCTCCTAGTTGTGAAATCTTACTTGATAAGAAAAGAACCACACTACCAGTGTTGAAAGAAACTTCTGGTAGCCAGCTTGACTGCCAAATATTCCTAAAGTCCAAATTTGTTGCTATCACTTCGAGAACAGGCAGGACGAAATTGGAGCTGGGCAATTGGGAGCTTTCTTTAGATCCAGTGAGTGCTGAGGCAACTATGGGAGTCCCAAGGAGAGGCAACTGTGAAATGAAGCAAAGTTATCAGTTTTCTGGTGTTCTGCTCTGGACCACTTGCTCCCTAAAGCAGAAGTTTCCCAGCTGCCCGTGGGAGACGCGTCCGATCCAGCAGCAGCACAAACACACGAGCTGAGCCTCCTACTGAAGGTACAACTGTAGGCTTCAAGTTTCCCCCAGACATGCCCAGCCTTCTCTTCTGTCTGACAGAAGAAACAGAAGGATGGGTTGCTCCAGCTTTAAAACAGAGTTATGGTTGGATAAATTCACAGTAACAAAAATACAGGCTTTTCCCAATGGATACATCAGAGCTGCTCCTCATTTCCCCACTTACAAAACACACTGGCCAGCCCTTCTGTCCAAGGGCCTCGCAGAGCCTGCTGTGAGAGGAGCAGCTCTGCTGGGATGTTGCACTGCTGGGAGAAGGCCTGTGATTGAAAGGAACAACACTGTACAGTTTCAGAAAAAGTTAAGAAAATAGATTTAGTTAGAAGAGTCGGGGTTGTAATAGCTTAGCTTAGACTCAAGGCACCTGTAAATATCTGCTGGTGTTGAAAGAACTGAACAGACAAATTCTGATGTGTTATTCCGGTTTCTCTGAAAGGTTTTCTTCTTTGATTTACCCATCTATCCCACAAGACTAGCCTGAGGCAGTAGTTTCTCCAATTAGTACAGTAAAATCTTCTCCAATTTCGAAATGAATCTCTAAAGCTGCCCCACTTACAGAATACTACATACTGCAGATGTGTTAACTGGGGTGTAGGTAGGATTGTTTTCTGGGTACAGCACAGGCATTCGCTTTTTGGACTCTGTATTTTAAGTAGCAAAATATATTGCATAGATATATCACCCCTCCAAAGTGACAGGCACAATACTGAAGTGTTCTTCATTACAGTGAACTTGGCAGCATGTGTTGCACTCCAAGGGAGTAAGCAGACTATAGAAATGCAGTAGTAGTATGTTAGAGAACAGATAATTTTTGCAGATTCAGACAAACAAATTAATAGTTAAAAGTGAAATATTCTGATGCATTTGTGGGTTTTATAGAATTTTTAAAATCCACAAAAATACCTATTCTAACTCTACGCACAAAACTCAAGGACAAAGTTACCACAGATATGTAAACAAGGCAAAATGATTTAATTTCACATTCCTAAATTTGGCTCTCTGCTTTTTCCTTTCCCGAAGCAAATGTTTCATTTGATAAGCAGTATCAAAACCACATGTTCAGTCTTATGCTTTTGATATTAAAGCAGGAATTGACACAAAATACTGGTTCTACAATAGCTCCTGGATTAACAAACATCTCTGAAGCAACACCTTGTGAAGAAATGGTTTAACACCTAATACCTGTACTTTAGAACACTTGCCATGTCCAGATTTAAATCAAAGCATCTGTATTTGATACATGAAAGACAAAAGACAGCTTTATAAAAGTAAAGACATATTCATACACTAAACATATCCTTAATAAAATCAGATTTGAAGAGGTATAAAGCAATAACCTTTGCTGGAAAAGTTCCACAAATCTCCAAACAAAATTACAGACAGACTTGAAACTACAAAAAAAAAAAAGAAATCAGGCCCACAGTATACTTGAAGAAACTACTTTATCACATTTTCTCTCATTGCCTAAAACCAAAAGCCAAAATAAGAACATAAGGCTTTCTTTGCTTGTTCTGTATAATTTGTTTTTTTATATCAACAGTCAGAGTCTTTGTGTTCACATATTAAAAAGTGTTTAAATCTGTATTTCATAAAGAGTTAGAATTAACAAAAATATTCTTATACTTTTAAATCCAAGTGGTAAACAAATAAAATGTTTATAATAAATTTTTACTTGCCAAAAAAATTACAGAAGAACAGGGGGGGTTGTCTTCTTTTTCCCCCCCTTTTTTTTTTTAACTGGTATGCCAGAACACTTAGTAGCAAATTGTCTGCACGAATCATCCATCTGCAAATCACACTGTGAACAATCACCAAACCCTCAATTCCCTCCTCTGGAATCTTAACAAAAACAGAGGAATTGGGCATTTGCCTTTCAGTATTTATGAGAAAGTTGGCTGAAAACACAGACCCAGACAGGGTCTGCAGTCTTCCCCCATCCAGCATTTGCTCTACTGCTCCACAGTCTGTTTTTAGCTTTAGCATCAACCATTTAAATAAGAACTCATTTTGTTTAACAAAATTCAATAATTTACAATATTGACGTGTATCGAACACTAGAATTTCCCTCATTTACAGAAGTGTAGAATTTTCTGTGCATACATACTGCTCTTATGTACACACAAAAGGAACAGGTCATCAAAAGAACTTTTTGGCTGCTGCTTCTTGTTGGCTCCTGAAAAAAATGCAGA